GGGGGGGGGGGGGCAGGAGGGGCTAGGAGAGGCGAGGGGGGCAGAAGTGCCCTTTGAGTTATAAAAATACTACCTGATAATGTGATCTTGAATGTGACCTGATTAAGTGAGTTTGCTTTCATTGGCAAGTCAACACATAATTGTGGGTTTATATCTTCACCGGGGTCTATAGAGGTGCCCTTTGGTGTGCGTTTGCCCCCCTTGCCTTTTTATCGTTCCAGCGTCCCTGCGCAATTTCCTCGTTTCTAACTGTAGAACAGCACATCTGGTTGTTTAAGAAAATTATTAACAATTTATAAATAACCTAAAAATGCTTCTATAAGCAATACAATCTTGAACTGTCTGTGCCAGTGTAGGTACTAGGTAGTGTCATTAATATAAACAATAATATTGCGTTGGTAGGGATAACTATCTGAAAAATATAAGGAGCTAGAATTTCGACGTTCCGAAAGGTCAAAATTCTCCTTATATTTTCAGGTAGTTGCATCCCTACCAACGCAAGCTTGTTTTTTTTTTATTCTAGCAATACTCCATTCCGGAAAGTACGTCGCTTTGACTATAAAGCCTCGTTTTCATTTATGTCACATTAGAAACCTTACAATTTTAGGACGGCAATGGCTACCAATACAATAGAGGATTGAAAAGAATTGAAAAATTACAATATATGAATAATTTAGACATTGTCCCATAGATATATCTATGCATTGTCCTCGCTCTGTTTACAACGCCAAATCAGAGATTTTCACGTCTTGATACAACGCCGGGCTGCATTTCAAGCTGCAACAAGTGCAACTTCAAACTGGGTTCAGGAGAACTCTTCCCATGCAACCATAAAACTCATGTCTTCAACTTCTAAGACTGTATTAAATTCATACGATTGATAATATACGACGAATTATCTTTACTACCATTTATTTGAAGGAGTTTGTTTCGGCCGTCGTCGTCGAGTTGCCGTCCTAAAATCGTAAGGTCTCTATTAGTCAAAGCCTAAAAGTCTCAATTACGAAAACGAGGCTTTATAGCCAACTACAGTCAAGTGACGTATACTTGCCGTAAGCGCCGTGTATTACCGCGCGTGTGTTACATTACCTGCATTGCAGTTGACGCAAGTCAATACTGGTATAAAAAACACGCTAGTACGTTATAACTACACAAAAAGACATAAATATATTAACTAATAATGAACTTTTAAACATTATTTATAGAAAATTTGAGCCTTAAGGGAAAAAATCTCTCCTTTAACGTGCCAGTTTATTATAGCAATTTCATATTTCATTGAAATATGTTAACAGATTATAATCAGACTATTAAATGTACATTGTTTGCTTACAAGCAGGTGATCTTCTTCTAATAATCATCAATGATAATTAAATATACATGCATAAACAGTTATTTGAATATAAATGTTAAACGTTGGGCGTCGTTGTTGCTACTTTACATACAACTGCAGGTGGTGGATTCAACAAACGGCGTGTTCTCCAGAGGACCAGAGTCTTACTCCAAAACAGCTCATACATTAGATAAAGTTAACGAATAAACACTCAGCCAAGTCTTTCCGTCACTTGCGTGCCGATAAAATTGTGAAATTCACCAACAAACGGATATCGTTGAAGTTGGTAGGTATATATTGTTCATCAGTAAAGTCTTAACTGAAATTTGACAATTCTTTGACAATTCTTCTTTGCGTTCTTATTGGAACGATTGGAACGGTTGGAACGAGGCGAGATCTTTCTGCCAATTTTGGTTTTGCATAACCATATCGGCATGCTTTGCTGACACATGCATGCTATAGTTAAATTTACTTCTCAGATACTTTAAAGCCAAGGACTATGTAGACGAGTGTTGGGCATTATTCATGTGAGTCATGGTTGTTTATTGAGTCATGGCATTATTCATGCATGTGCTGTTCAGTAGAATCTTATAAATTTGAATCTCTCGACTCGAGTCACTGTGGCATTGTCAATGACTTGTTCAAATTTTTTATACCACTATATACTTATATCAAGGTTTAACCCTGGCAAAACATGAAGTAACTTCAGTTCTTTTAACATATATACTACTTTATAGACTGCTATATTATTTATGCATGACGTCGTTAATTTTCCTCCACAATATCAAATCGTTGTATATATATATAATGATTGAAATTGTATCTTAAACGATTTAAATTCATGCGAACTAAGATTTTAACTTTTTAGACCCCATTTATATTAGAGCAAAAGATTCTAGATTCATCACGACTCCCTCAGAAACATTTCACTTTCATTTCCATTTCCAGACGTAGGCTACATACGCAGCAACGAATCCAGAGCTGTGTACTTGTGTACTCTGCGCCCTGGACGAACCCAGCAGGAAATCAACGGTTTTGAGCCGTGTTCGGCGTATTCGGAAACTTTGAATCTGTATACAACAGTAGAAACTTTGTATTTAGGAACATTTGAACCCGATACAATTCGACGTGTAAATCAGATTATACCTCAATGAATCCGCAACCTTTTCAGTCTTTTCTGTGAGACTGCGACATATATAAAGTATTGCCTTCGGACAGAATTTATAGAAACTTGTTGTTTGTTAGTCATCCAGTTTGTTATATTCATCCAGAGTAAAAGCTCGTCATCCAAACTTTCAAATAATGAATCCGGAATCTTTTTCTCTATGAGGTCTTATAAGGACTAGTGTTTGTTTCAGACTTCCCGTGTTGCGGAATACTGAAAAGCATTCATATTCATTACTACCAATACGACGTTTTTCATCAGACTGAAAGGGAGAAATTTTCGGTTCATTCCAGTGTAGAGACCATGATATATAAATGACCTAGCCTACTAACAAGCATCTGTATTTATTTTCTTCAGGCCAGAAAAGTAGAAGAAATATGGTGACCACACATTACTTTATCCTTACTGTTTTGGTAGTAATCATATCAAAAGGTATACGCTTCTAATATCTCTCAATGTTTAATTCTGAACCGCAACCGCTTCAGAAGGTTTTCAGTGATATATATCGATGCCAATGGGCAATGGCAATGCTGATGTTATAGCATCTCACGTGGAACAAAATACCAATCTCCTTACGTTAATTTCCCTAGGCGTAGCAAAACACACTAGCTAATTATAATTAAAGCATATAAATTATAATGCCTTAATCAGTTCCTAGCTTGTCTTCATTTAGATGAATTCATAATTATTATTTGGCAAACCATGTTCAGTTCCGAACCAAATCTAGCTAGGTTAAGGCCCCAGATACACGATACCAGATTCGTATCGGAGCGAGTCGAGCGATATTCAACTAAGACGCTTCTGAAGTTTTTGATATCAGTTGAAGGTTTTTTTAAATTCTGTTATATTATCATAATTTTGAGTGCGAAACTCCCCTTGAAAATGTAACATTTGATGTCGCTCCGATGCGAATCTGATATCATGTAACTATAGGCCATAAGAGATTTAAACATACGAAAAACAAAGTCCTACATCTAAAATATGAAAACTAGGTTCTATATCCAAGGTGACGTTCTTTCCGGAAGCGTGAATTATCAATATAATCCACGTACAACTGATAATATACAGATTCTGCTCTGTCTATATAAATTGACCAAATCAGCGATATGAACATTCAGATCATATTTCTTCACATCCCTTTCATTTTGTCAACTTGTCAACTGCTCAGTGTTTAACTGTCCTTTACTGGCTTTAGGCTTAGCAAAAAGGGAAGAACTCCGACATATTCCTCACGGAGCGAAACCAACACTAATATGGTGGACGCCAAACACCTTCCCTCACAGCAGAAAAGAGACCTCTACTCATACGATTCGCTGTAATGCTGGTCCTTGCATCACAACTGTTAACAGACAGCTAGTTAACAATTCAATTCCTCAGGCATTCATGTTCTACGGAACAGATTTTCGAGCCATTGATCTTCCACTTCCACGGTTTCCATGGCAGCACTGGGCGTTATTTCACGAAGAATCGCCAAAGAATAACTGGATTCTTAGTCACGAAGATTGTATCAGGTCTGACATTTTCTGCTTATCGAGTGTAGTATCAATTTACCCAAGTTGTTGCTTGTTGGTTTTTCTCATGTATCTCAACTTCTAGTTTCAGTCCAGGGCTATGTACTCACGATTTTTTCACCACGGTGGCACTAGTAATACAGATATGCTGAAGTACCCGAATTTGAATCCACCCAAAACCATAGCCTCCCATTCCTCCCCCCTCCCCCTGTTGTATACGTCCCTGTTTCATTTCCAGAGATAGATAAATCATATGCCTAAAATTGTTTTATCTTCCTCTTTTCAAGCGGTGTTATATGTAATCTTCACTGCATGAGCGTTGAACTGTTGTAATAGTTCAGAACCATGCATGTCAAAAGAACAGGGAGCAGTTATAGGAACGCCAGATATAGAGATTTTTCAAGAATGCTTAAAAAGCTACACAACTATACCAAATGTGGATATCGTAATAAAAAGAGGAGACTACAATTTTAAGTATACTATAAGGTTATACTACTAATCAATGGACAATTTAGAAAGTTTTAAAATCACTATTCGGTGAAGCCAGGGTCTTCTAGCGTAGGTAGAAGACCCTGGCTTGCGAGGTTGCATGCACATAACATTAATTAATCGTATTTCAGATTGTTTAACTATACCGCCACATTCAGTCCGAAGTCCGATTACGCTGTTACATCGCAATATATAAAGGATCCCAATGAGTGGGCAGAACGACCTGCTGTTTTCACCATTGATAAAAACAGGTATGTTGCATGGAGTGTACACAACTTGAAAACAATAGATATTCGGGCGGCCCTCCCGAGCTTGAGCCTGGGGACAAGGATGGCTGAGTGATGCATATTGTTCTAGCTGGAGCATTTGCATGGTCATAGTGGTAATGTTGCATTCTTCTGAATGCGATTCGAGGGACAAGGGATGCATGAGTTAGCTAAGGCGCTAGATTTAGATACCGTGCCAAAAATATTATATGCATTTGAAAATCGCTAAACACGGCAAATTACAGGGTCGGCAAGTTTTCCTGTGTATAGTACCCCCACAGCAGGTTAGGGTGCAGGGAAATGAAGTAACTTGTCGACATTTGCGTGGGGAAACATCTGGATGTCGGATCATCTTTTATAATTTCAAAACTTTCCAAAGTTATACTGCAGGAACTAATACTTAATGGAAGTTTTTAATATAATGCTGTTCCTATAGGTATCAACACGAAGAAGGCCTGGCTCCTCTTGTGTACGTCCAACGTGATTGCAACCCACCATCAGATCGCGATCGTTATATTAAAGAACTCATGAAGTACATAGACGTCGACTCATACGGACCATGTTTGAATAACAAAAAGATGCCCGAAAACATCGATGGCTTTCATAAATTTGACAGCCTAGATTTTCACACTTTTCTATCAAAATACAAATTCATCATTGCTTTTGAGAACGCCATATGCGATGGTTACATGACAGAGAAGCTGTTTCGTCCCCTCAAAGTAGGAAGCGTTCCTGTTTACCTTGGCTCTCCATCGGTGATGGATTGGTTACCGAACGAGAGTTCCGCCGTATTAGCGTCAGACTTTTCTGGACCGAAAGAACTGGCACACTTTTTGAACGATTTGAATCACGAAGATGACGTTTACAACACACATTTGGTTCACAAGAAACCGGGTGGAATTTATAATAAGGCATTGTTGGCCGGGATTAAACGGAGAGGATGGAGTGTACTGGGGGACTGGGACAAAGATAATTTTGGTCATAGAATGTACGCCGGCTACGAGTGCTATGTCTGTGATCGCTTGTACGAATGGAATGACACATTAAATGAACATCTAAATGACCCGCAAACGACTGCTCCACCTTCTAGTAAGAATGCCGATAATTCCCATCTGGGCTGCCCAGAACCTAAGCCATTGATCCCTATAGAAGGACAGTTTCCACAGAGTTTTCCCTACTGGCAAGGCTTACGTGAGGCAAAAGCATTGTACGAAATGATTCTCAATAAAGAGACAGATTCCAGAAAGTTTATCGGAAAATATTTAAAGATGAGCACGGATAAATACCATGTGCCAAAAGATGAATTGTAGAAAGTCTAACTGAAAAATATCGCCCTACAACTAAAATACAGTTATGAGCTTAAAATCCAAAATTAGCTTTACTGAAACTTAATTATACTATAAAGTCTTCAGCTGTACTTTTTGCACTGACCAAAATTTAAATTATTTCATATAGTAGAACTTAAAGTAATTTTCACAATTTGATAGTAGAACTTGAAATAATTTTCACAATTTAACAAGCAAAAGAGACTGATTGTTCATTGAAAAATATTACACACTTATTAGGCCGTGGGCCGTTGGCCAAAATTATTTCGCTTCGTGGCAACCATGTGGGAAGTACTTGGTTTGTGGTTTATTTGAAAGGCATATAGGTACATTACTACCAAAAAAGTTCTCAAGCAAAAAACTTGCCCAATACAAGAAAATGGGTGATCAATGATTATCCTGGGAAATTTTGTGAAAATGGGAAATTTTGTATTCAATTACGATAAAAATGACTTGCATCATCAGAAAACGTACAAAAAACCGCATATAAGACTTTTAAACAGTTTTTTTATTCTTCAAATAGTCTTTGAGTTATTGCTGTTTTAAATGTGAAAATTGGACCCGCAAAATGTCGCAATAAGGACTGGGTGCTAAGTCAAAAACGCGGTTTAGACAGCGTATAAGTGGCGTAGCCAGCTCGATAAGTGGGGGGGGGGGCATATTCATATATTCGTATCCATAGACCTTAAAAACAATCAATTTCAAAATAAATTAATAATGCAGAACACGAATATATGAATATGTCCCCCCCCCAATTATCGAGCTGGCTACGCCACTCTCGAAAAAATTTGAGATATAAAAAACTGTTTAAATGTCTTATATGTAGGTTTTTGTAAGCTTTCTGGTGATGAAAGTAATTTTTGTTCTAATTGAATACAAAATTTCACATTTTCTTGCTGTAATACAATTTATATAATAGAGGATAATCACTGATCACTCATTTTCTCTGTATTGGGCAAGTTTTTTCGCTTGGGAACTTTTTGTGGTAATTGAACATCTATGGTACTATGCATTGAACCACAGAAAATCTATTCCCCAGGTGGTTTGCCACGAAATTGCTTTTCTGGGCACTTTTTCACACAACGGCCCACAGCCTATGTTTATTTAATTGTTTATTTAATTGAGTTTTCGCCCAGTAGTATTTACAAGAATAGTAATTAATATGTAAAATAAGTAGTGTAAAGCCTAGAGGTCTACCAGAAACCTGCACAGGCTTTTGAATTAAGACCTCTAGTTCATAAAGAATTGCATGATTAATTAAATTATTTACAGTCAAATGTTTAGAAGAAGAAAATTAAAAAAACAACAAAAGTACAAAATAACTAATACCCATATTCCAAAAATATACTTTAAAAATGTTTTTATATAGGAGAGTGATTATTTAGAGAGTGATTATTTATTTTATATACAGCTACCTGTTACAAATAGTGATTTTTTCAATTTGCTTTTGAAGACAATGAGTGAATTGATTGATTTTAAACGAGTGTCAAGCTTATTCCAAATATCAACACCTTAGAAAAGAGAACGATTGACATAATTTGTTCTTCTATACTTTTTGTGAAGATTGGAAGCATTTCTAGTTTTATAATGGTGAATATCACTATTGAGTATTGTTTACAAATAGATTATTAAATATGATTGGTAAACTTTCGTGACTTCATTATACGTTCATTCATTCTAACTTTTGATGGCTCCTTTTCATTTAGCTTTTCTTTATCAATGTAAATATAGTTAATGTATACATAAAAGCGAATCAATAAAAATTTAATGTCAGGACAGAAAAGTGTGTAATGACTTAAATTTTATTGTATCAAGGAAAAAGGACCTATTAGTCCAAGAGTGGGTTGACTACAAAATTTTTGTAGTTCGCTATAACTACAGCTACTTCAAAAATATGTAGTCAGCCACAACTACTGCTACTTTTGAACAAAAGTAGTTCGCTACTGACTACAGCTACTGCTTAAAAAATGTAGCGAACTATTTCGCTACTTCGCTACTCTATATTTTTTAGTTTTACGATATTTGGAGCATCCACTAGCTCAGGCTGTAATATAACCTATATCAAATCGACTTACAAGTAGCAACAGTAAGCAACATTTTTGTAAGCACTACAGTGTTCAGGAGTGCCACTTTTCATTGCGCTAAAATAATCTTTACTGTATAAAATAATCTTTTAAGCAAACCGTGCCTAATATCGTTCTATTCTATGAACGGTTGCTAACAATTTTAAAAAGTAGCGAATAGCGATCCGCCGTTTGAAAAGTAGTCAACTATTTGGCTACTTTTAGCTACTTCGCTACTACCCACCCTTGCCTATTACCTATACGGCTATACTAGGCCGAGAATGCAGAGCGATTGCATAGTATGAAATAAATCTGCGAAAAAGCTGTCAACCCACTTTGGAGGCCGGGGGATGGGGCATTCCTCCAGAAACAACGAATTACTGTACAACCCTCAAATTGCATTTCCCGAGCCATTTCTTACAGCAAATCTGTTTAGAATGATTATATATGCATGCCTGCATGATGACAGATTTGCAGTTATATTGCTGAAAACACGACTATGCATGTCTATTCATGTCTACTGTAAATGAAATTAGTATAGTAATTCTGAAGCACTGACAGCAAATTTGAAATGCCATTAGTCATTACTACTTATAATAAAACTAGGTATTCCTAAAGTGAGGCGCATGAACCTTCTGCGAGCCTTCTTAACGAAATTACTCAGTTTTTACCATGCACTGGTCAGGACTCAATGGAGTCCATTTGATGTATGAGTGTCCATCTTTCTTTCTTCGTCATTTCTTTATACAGAGATAGAACTGCGAGAACGCAATACATCTAAATCAGATAATAAAATAAAATAAATCTAAAGTTATCGACTGAATACTCTATCATTGATCACAAGTCTAATTTTTTCAAAATAATTTTTAAAACGTGGCAATATTTGTCAAATATATTTTGTCAGTGGAAAAAATAGTCTGCTTGTCATTCTAATTTGGGAAAATAACTTTCACCATAAATAATAAGGAAGTGTTTAATTTCTAATGTTTCACTCACGTTTATACACAGAATCACTGCATCGGGAATCCATACGGAGGAATCGATCTATATTCAACATCATATAGAGTACAAATTTTAAATCAGGTACATTTGCCTAAAATTTATTATTCACAACTATGTTACCCCCTCCCCCCCCGGTTGCTACGGCCCTGTACTTGAGTTTATTTTCCTGCTGGAATTGTATATTTTCCGAGTTCCCTCTAGTTATTATTATTATTAGTTTATTAAAACCTCTTGCAGTATTGAGAACTGAATTATAGGTTGTGTCATAGTAAAACTTAAGAATTTATAAATGTGGATATTTTACATATAAAAATAAAATGATTAACTATTTAATTGTGCATTTTCCCTAAATTTAACAGTTACGAAGTTATGAAATCGGTCTGTTCGATTGATTGTTGGTCTGACTATTCTTTCAGATCTTAAGGAATAAGTGTGATCCGACGAGGGAGCTGCTTGTGAATAAGAGCGGATACAGCGGTTTGCCACAAATTTCTAACAGGCTGCATCTCTACGAGAACTAAGAATCTGAATACCCGCCAAGGATAAGGCTTCTGTATATGAATGGACGGATAAATTATTGCCAACGCTCGCTTCTGAACCCTTTCCAGATCGTTGCTTAACGCTTGAGGGAGATTTGCAAAAACCACTCTGAAGCATACTCTGTCACAATATCCGCACTGCAAACTCGCATCTTCTTCAATTTCCTTTTTCCTTTCTTTATTATATAGTCACAATGCAAGGACCATGTTAGATCACTAGACAAGTAAACTCTAAGTATAGCTTGAACACTGTTACAACTTCAATCTGGATACCATCAGTAACAATAGGTTGCCATACATTCAGTGGCGTTGTATTGAAGGAAGTCATTAGTGATATCTTTACATTTCTCTGGATTTAATCTCATTTTATTTTGCCAAGCAAATCATTGCATTTCAGATACAGTAAATTTCATCAGTGAAGGGGAGTTTCTTGAAACTATTTCCATAGCAGTTCGATCATCAACATATTTAATTCTTGGGCCCCATGTAGATATGAGATCATTGACTATATCGGTCATTGATATTTTGTGCGATAGATCTAGAATTACCAGTGCGTACACACTGAGACCTTTCCAGGAGAAATGCACCAATCCACCTTAACATGCTATTGTGGATGTTGAGTTTAGATAATTTTATCAACAAAATCTTGTGATCTATGAAGTCAAATCCTTTGCAAAAATCTGAGAAGAATACTCTCAATGAACAGTTACCCTTATCTAGGGCCTCTAGGGCTAAATGACGGATGTACACTATTGCTTGTTCTGTAGATTTACCAGCTACGGCAAATTGTTTATTGTCCAGTTGTAGTATTATGGTGGGGAGAATTCTTGTTAAGGTAAAACCTTCCATTACGTTTGCAATCTGACATGTTAATGATATTGGTGTGGAGTTAGGCAGACTTTTGGCGGAGATTGGGTCGAAGGCAAATTGGTTTAATACAATATTAGGTATCCCATCTGGCCCAGGAGCTTTTCTGACTTCAAGCTGCGCAAAGAGTTATAGGCTTCCATTGTTGTCACAAAAAATTCCTCTGAGATTTCAGCGTTTTCCACAAGTACAGGGTGTCTCAAAAAAAAACGCTGTGAAAATTCAACAGGCTGTCGTGCATCATAAACTTAGCTAAACAATTCAATTTTTACATAGGACGAAAGAGCTGTTATTTAGCTCTTCAATGATACTATTTTTAAATCGTAACGATGAGAAATGGCCACATACTCGTAAAATAAAAATTGCCGGTCGAAATCACATTCTTCCACCGTTGGGAATTGCATGAAAAACGAAACATAAAAACTCATAAACATGTTATTTCGATCGGCAATTTTTATTTGACGAGTATGTGGCCATTTCTCATCGTTACGATTTAGAAATAGTATCATTGAAAAGCTAAATAACTGTTCTTTCGTCCTATGTAAAAATTATTTTATTTTATTTTTTTATTTTATTTTACAAGACTCGCCGCAACAAACAAATATTAAACTTATTCAAATATCTACGAGTGCATTGGCTGGGACTGACCACAGAGATAAACTCCAATAACGGGGTCCCGACAAAAAAGACAAATTACTATACATGCACAAAAACATTAATTGGCTTTCGCCAAACTGTCAACAACATGATCTGAAAGATAAATTATGAATAGAACGAGTAGAGTGGCATTTGACGCACACCGATTTAAAGGTTCTAGGATTGTCTGGGTTGTAGACGTGTTCGAGAAGGTTAAAGTAGTATCTAAGTAGTAACTTTTAAAGGAAGCTGTAGATCTTGCAGTGTCTCTGAGGATATCGGGTAGAATGTTCCAAACGCTGGGTGCTCTTACGTAAAAACTGTTTTGAAAGCTAACAGTCTTGGATTTAGGTACATTTAGTAGAATACCATTGTCGGAATTAGAGTTTCTGGTTCTACGATTCGAAACCCGTATTGAGATGTTTGTATCAGAGTCTTTAACAACACAGTTGTAGAGATAAACTAAATCTAGAAACTCGAGCCAATAGCAGATGGTAAGAATACCGATAGACTGGAGACGGTCTTTGTACAAAACGTCTGATCTATAAGGGAGGGAAAGGATGAATTTGGTGGCACGACGTTGGACGCGTTCCATTGTAGCGATGTTAGTTACTGTTTGGGGTGCCCACACTTGACTGGCATACCCCAATTTGCTTCTAACCAAAGACACAAAGACAGGTAAAGAATCTTGCGGACTTGGTTATTGTTGATGTCAGAGGCTGATCGTCGGATGAAGCCAAGCATCATGTTTGCCTTTAATACCGTGCTATGAACTTGCTTGTTCCATTTCAGGTCGTTGGAAATAGTGATCCCGAGATCTTTCTGGGTAATTAATGACTTAAGCGAAGTATCAATAAGATGATATTCTGCGATAATTGGTTGACGATTTCTAGTAATGCTAAGAACCCCGCACTTGGATTGATTCCAGTCCACCCTCCAATCGTTGCACCATGTTACAAGTTTATTTAGATCATTTTGCGGACTTTCGCAGACAGCTAACTTGTTCACGGGACGGTAACACTTCGTGTCGTCAGCGAACATAGCCACAGACGATTGGGTTGAAATTGAATCAGGAAGATCGTTAACAAATACCAGAAACAGTAGGGGTCCTAAAATTGAACCTTGGGGAACTCCAGATAGAACAGGGAGAGTATGGAACGACTCACCGAGAACTGTTACTCTTTGGTAGCGTCCTGAGAGGTAGTTTTTGAACCATAGCAGAAGATCACCTCATATTCCAAACCTCTGGAGTTTAACTAACAGAAGGTTATGGCTGACCTTATCAAATGCTTTTGCGAAGTCCAGGTAAACCGAGTCGACTTGGCTTCGGTTTTCTAACGACTTGTTTATAGAAGAAGAAGAAGCTGAGAGGTGGTAGACTTGCCTTTGAGAAAACCAAATTGTAGATGGTGAAGTTGACTGGAGAAATGATATATAAGTTGGTTATAATTAAATTGTTTAGCCACGTTTATGATGCACGACAGCTTGTTGAATTTCCATAGCGTTTTTTAGACACCCTGTATATTAGATATGTCCTCCACTGATAGTGGTACAAAGTCAGAAGTGAGACTAAGGAAGAACTCATTAATTCTCTCGCACAATTTTTCAGTGGTGTCTACAGTGCCTCCGTCAATAAGATGTTTAAACCACTGTTCCTTTCTATCGGTCAAACCAGAGAGATTTTTTACTTCTTTCCACCACTTACTTGCATTAGTATCCTTTAATTTAGATTTTTGACTTTAGTATCATAGAATAATTTCTTAGTATGTTTAATTGCATATTGAACTTTGTTTCTCCACAGTTTGAATGATGGAGAATGCTTGCCATGTTGAGCTAGGCACTTTTGTTTTCTCTTAATCCAGGACTCTTAATCCAGGACTTCTTGCTGGTTATCCATAGTTTATCTGAGCTATGTACTCGCGATGTTCTAGAGGGAAGACATTTGTCAATAGCTTCGGTAAGAAGCTGGTAATTTAAAAACATTCGAATTTACTTCGACACGTACTCTTTTGTTAAGTTAAATCTCACTTTCCATCGGATCCAGTCATAGGGCGAGCTCTAACAATTAACCGAAACTTGAACTCATATATACTGAAATATAAATTTGGTCTTAAAAATTGCCGGTTATTTTATACCTCAACTCCTTTTCCAAAGTAAAACATCAAAGAGGAAAAGTCGAATATTTCGTAAAGTAAAACACCAACAACATAGGGAAACAGCAACTTACGACGTTCCTATAAACACAGAAACATTTGTTTACTTTGTAATGCAGTTGGAAGGTCTTGGAAACTAACCATGCATAAATTACACTCTACCGTTCTGGTTAGATTCTCCTGGTTAACCTAGAAATGATACTGATTTGGGATAACTTAATATTCCTAGTTAAATTTCGCGGTTATTTTATCTCACTTCTTACAATAGTCTATAGTTAATAATGAAACCAGGATTCTGGTTATATTTCAGGGCTCAAAATAACGATCCTTGCCTCTTGACCGGTCACTTTTTTACCTCACCGGTCATTTTGACCGGCTAATTTTCATGCCTTCCAATGTGATTGCTGACATCTTGAATTAGAACATGAAACTATGATGTATCGAAACAAGTTTCTAATAGTTTGTTTTACTGTTTGTGTGAGCGTATCAATGACCGGTCAAAAACAGATTTTGACCGAGCTAAAATCAAGTTGACTGGTCATTTTTACCGGAGACCTATCTCCCATTATTTTCACTTTTGAGCCCTTATATTTGACCAGGGCGTCCTGGTTAAATTAACTGGACTATGCTAGGTGGACAAAGAAACCATGTGGGTGCCCCTGGCTATATAAGTATCCACCTAAAATAGCTTGGTTAATTTAACCAAGAAGTTCTGGCCAAACTAATTCAAGTATAGTAGGGAAAAAGTTTAACCATACACCTAATTTAACCACTAATTACCACACTGTAAATTTCAAAGAATTGAACTCCAAAAGTTGTTTTTGTGACAGAACAGCACTTTTGGATTCAACTCCTTGAGGCCATCATAGTCTGGTTATTTTAACAAAGACGTCCTGGTCAAATATAACCAGATTCCTCATAATTATGCATTCAAATATAACCACATACATCAAATATAACCACGCTATCATGTAAGATATAAGAAAAAGTAACCAGGAAATTTAACCAGGATTAACGCAATAATCTGTTGTAGGTTACAGTAACCAGGAAATTTTGACCCGAGAAATATTTTGGCGAAAGACATTTTGCCGAACGGAGATTTTGCCGACGGACATTTTGTCGACGGACATTTTGTCGAACGAACATTTTGCCGAATCTATTTTTCGCCGAAAAGACATTTTGCCGAACGGACAATTTGCCGAAATAATCTCAGTGTATGTATTCGCCTGTACTGAAATTAAAACTATCACCTTCACAATTGCAATTGACAGAAGCAAGGAAGCAGCAGCTAGTACAATGCCAAAAACAATTTCCAACGACGCCAAAATCGTTCTACCTAAAAAATATTTTTTAAATTATAAAATTTCCATCTCTGTTGTGTTTGGAAAAAGAGTTTATTTATTTGTTGTAGAACGACTTAATATTGGGAATCGCTAGGGCAGTTAAGAACTATAGGTATTTGTAAATATGCAGTACATGATAGGAAATAAGACTGAAATAACTGTACATGCAAGAAAAACCTTGAAATAATGATATTAAATCAAGGAGAGTTTATGCTATATATTTATAGCTATTTAGTGCTGTGCATTCAGAAATACTCTCTCATGGTTCCTCACTCCCTTCAGGAACGTCGAGGGGGGGGCAGGCCCGCCCCCAACAATTTCCTCATCCAGGATTGTACTTCAACTGCAAACTTGAATACTTGCATGATTTCTTTCTTGCACAGGCAGTTACAATAAACACATTGTGTATATATCAGCATGAGCTCCACCTTTCAATTTACTATATGAGTTAATATGTTAAACACGTCCGAATTTATCAATATGTTAAATTTGCGGCCCCTAACACTAACCCCTAACCGTAACCCCAACCCTAACCCCTTATCCTAACCCCTAACCCTAATCTAACTTTTTTAAACTTTTTTGAAAATCTCACTTTTTTTAACTTTTTTTGAATTCATTCACGCTTCTAATTGTATACAGAGTGCACGTTGTTTCAAAACTGGGATACTTTGAAGTTGTAAAATGGCCGTATAAACTGCATTATAAAATCTTAAATTCGTTAATGCAAAAGCTTCAACATTGATCAAAATTCCTCTCAGGAAATATGGAAACCACTCTTCTGAGGCTTCGAGAACACAAAATCTTCGGGGAGGGGGGGGGAGGGGGCATGCCGCCATGCCCGACGGCACTGCTCCCTTCTAGTTTTCTAGTTTGCATGTAATTAGTTAGATTTTCGGATTTTAGAGAAGAAGAACGGCATGTATGTTTAAATTAATAAATTCACCTGCACTTACTTTTAACTTTGATTTCTCCCTGTTTGATCTGATAACTTGTAAGACTTTCCATCGACATAATATTAATGACTTGCAACGAAATCATTAGGACGGCTGTGAACTAAAAATATTAATTTATTTATAATATGAAATCTATTGCCAGTGATGGTTAATAATAATAATAAAAGAACGGTTTATCAGTGTAGGTGATAATAGTATGGTGACGAGAGGTTGGAAAAGATGCACGTCGGTATGATTTTCAAAGACGATCAAAATTGCACGAGTCTGAAGGACGAGTCCAATTTGAAATCTTTGAAAAACTTACGAGTTTATGTTATGCAGAAGCAAATTCAGTCACTTGCATCGGCATGAAACACACGCGCGTATGTTCTTTGTTAAAGCGCTGGCCACGCATTTGGTACCAACTTTCTTTTTTGGCATTGAATTAGTTTCTTTCGCACATGTACAGTATTTCGATGAAATTGCACTGGTCTTAGCCAATCAGAATTGAGTAATCTTTTCATGCATGTTATTACAAGTGTAACATTGCACCAGTACATGCATTATATAGTTTACACCCTGTCGGTCACTAGTCTATTTAAGCTGTCGATAACACCATTTTGACATATTTAGTTTTTAGGAATGGTAAATCTGTTGCAAGCATGCTCCGTGAACAATAATTTACATATTAAGTAGTTCTCTATCGATGTTCACGACTGGAAAAGTGATCCTTATCATTTTACTTATAAGGGGCAATATTCGCTCCAAAGAATTGTGCGTATATCAGATTTTGGCAACTGATAAATGTGTATAGGAGTGTATAGGTAGAGAGTCAAGATCGATAAAAGGCGGTAGATTGGAAGTTAGAACCGTAATTATAAGTACGCTCAATGGTGATTTAAATCTTCAGCTCATTTATTAAATATGGTATTATCAGTAATTGCATGCCTATCTGAAATTGTAATCACACGCAGATCAATGCCATGTTTTCTTTTTTGTTGTCACAACTAACACGAGGAAGATTTCCAACTTTGTAATCCGAGTCTGGATCTGTTTCGCATTTAATTAGGCTCATGATTATATATTCATAATTGTTTTTAATCCGACAAGCACTCAAGTAAATTATCCAGTCAGCGATATTCAGCAATCCGACAACGCACTTAGTAAAAATTAGCTTTCCAAACTAGATCGAATTACTACTGTCACTACTGTGCAACGTGACAAATTATTTTATTATTTATATTGTGATGTATTATTAATAGGATTGTACAATATAGTTCTTTGTCAGCATGGTCATGGATATAATTGTATTTTCATCAAATGTTTTGGCGTAACTGTCCATGCATGACCTTAACAATGCTCAATTTAATAATCACTGTTCAGACTTGATTGAATAGTAGCGAAAATACAATGCGTAACGGTCGTAAAGAATAAAAATTGAGTTAGTCACGATCTTTCTCATCAGCCGAAATACAGTTTTAGAACTGAAAATACGTGGAGTGCCTATAACTGGAGAATACTTATTCATATTGATTTATATGTTGCTTACAGGTATAAACTATTATCAACGGGCCGTTGCGAAAGATCGTGACTCTATTTTTACGACAGTTACAACCATATGGAAACCAGGCTTATTAATTCTCGTGCATGCATATCTTATACAAGTCGTTATAATGTATAGTACTGATTCTTGATTATCTAGACTGATTATTTTATTGCAAGTGTACTATTACAAGTATTAGTATTATTATTTATTACTGTCTAATCAATTCATAATCATCGTAAGTTGGTGTTTCCTTATATAACACCAAAATAGTGTGAACATTTACACCAAATCAGTGTTTACAATAGCTGGAATGGAGTTAGCAACACCCAGAAATTTAATTAAGGTGCCAATGCAAGGTCCTTCGTTGGGTAGCATTAGTTACAAACAAACAACAATGTTTTGACGTAACTATTCAAGCAAGTTCACGCAAGTGCATTCTAACTTCTTGACGGAGGGACTTCGCTCGAAACGTCGAAGTTTGTTCTTAGCTTATTTTTTCGTCAGTTTTCGAAATACTACCATGTCGTGATAATACCTAGGGGCTTCAGGGATATATTGAAGTTAACGAGCCTCGGGGGCAGCGACGAGCCCCATAGGTTATGCCGCGAAAGGAAAGACTTACTATTATTATTCTATGAATTCACCTTATTAATTGTTGATATTACTGATATGAAATAAAGAGAAATGTGAGTGTCAGGTCTGTTGACTTCTGTAAAGAATCGTGAATCAGTCTTGTGAGAAATTTACCACCATATAGAGAAACGTGACTGCAGGAAATTGTTCATCTATGATCAATAGTTAAATTTACCATAGAATTAAGTATCACATATGTTAAATAAATATAGCAGACCTTACCAGAGTCCATGCACAAGCTACAAGGCTACCAGTTCGTAGAGAAATACAGCAACAACATTTTGAAAGCCACCTCATGTTGCTTGGAATATTGTATTTTCATTCTCGGTATAATTACTCCAAGAATAAACATCGCTTTCCATGGAAGTCATGTGCCAACGGAAGTTCAAATATGATTTATTGTAATATATTCATGACCTCTGATATTGGGGTTGAAGGTTTATTGTTGAAGAGTCCTCCTCACCTTTATCGCGTTTAATAAATAAAACTTCTTCACTGCCAATTTTAGACATACATTTTTATACATCATTTACCAGCCTGTGATTTAACTACAATTCGGTTCGATCCTTTTTTTAATGGAAACGATGTTTTAATGTTTTAATGTTTTAATAAGATTCGGCAACTACCTAAAAATACAACAATGTAGTGCCAGGGGGTTCGCCACAAGTTCCCCCAATTACGGCGATCCCTTAAATTTACATAAAAATTATGTTCAAATAATTGATTAACGAAACAGTCTATAAGTAGAACAACACAATTACAAAACGGCTAAACTGACAACTAACAACAGTTTAAAACACCATCAAGGGATCTAGCCCTTTTACATTTAACACAGACAGATTTCCAAGTCCGAGGATCGTCGCAGTTATACGTCTTCGATAGTGCGTTCTTATAATACGATTTCAGTCCTGTTTCTGTCTCGAAGGTTATATCACTTAGAATGTTCTAGGTCGTTTTAAAAGCTCTAATAAAATACGAGGACTGGAACATTACAGTTTTGGCATAAGGTATAAACTAAGAATTTAATTCGATTGTCATTAGTTTCACTTCTAGTGATTCCTATCCTGATATAACCGGTCGAGCACTGTCGTCAATATATGTATAATTGTTAATGATTTTATAGAGTAGGAATATATCCAGGTATTCGTGCCAGTAAGTTATGGGTAGTAGATCTAGGTTATGTAGTCTTGTTGGACACGGTATGTTGGTGACAAACCCAAGATTAAGAATAAATTTGGTTGCTCTTCTCTGCACCTTCTCGATATTTTCAATTAACTGTACGGACTATGGACACCATACTTGGGATGCGTACGCAAGATTGCTTCCAACGAGCTGTAAGTACAGATACTTTCTCGCCTTGATGTCAGTCATCTCCAAGGTAGACCGCCTAATTAATCCAAGCAATTTGTTAGCTTTGGACTTCACCTTGCTCACTTCATGGATCCATGTTAATTTGGGACCGATAGTTATACCCAGGTCAACTTCAGCATCAGAAAAGGACAACAAGTCACCGACAAGACTGTATGGAGAAACCAAAGGTGATGTTTTTCTGGTTATAGAGAGTACCTTGCACTTGGATTGATTGAAATGAAGGTGGTGTTCATTTGACCAACATCGAAGACCTTGAATATCCTCTTGCAAGACCAAGGCATCAGAAGGATTTTTTATGCAACGATACAGCTTGGTGTCGTCAGCAAACAGTCCGACCCCAGTAGAGGATGATACATAGCTAGGTAAGTCATTGATATATACAGAGAAGAGAAAGGGACCCAATAACGATCCTTGTGGAACCCCAGAAGTAATGGATAAAGTGGTCGACGTAGCACCGTGAACAGTTACTCGTTGGAAGCGTCCGGATAAATAATTCTTAAACCACAGGAGGAGAGAACCAGAAAAACCGAATTCCTGCAGCTTTTGCAACAGTTTGGAGTGGTCAACGGTATCGAAAGCCTTAGCAATATCCATAAAAACAACATCAGTTTGTAATCCCTCATCCAAGTTCTTTCCAATAATATTTAATATTGATAATAACTGAGCTGTGCTTGATTTTCCGTTAACGAAACCGTACTGCGCCGAATTAATGTTGGACTGAATATGGTAGGATACATGATTGAGGACACATCTTTCAAGGACCTTGCTTATGATTGATAGCAATGAAATAGGGCGGTAATTTTCCACATGATCTTTTTGTCCTTTCTTGTGTAGAGGAACAATGTTGGCTAACTTCCACTCGGCTGGAACCTGCGATAAGCGGAGCGACTTAGTGAATAGATGATGAAGTGATGGAGCTAGTTGGAAGGCACATTCTTTTAGAATGCGCGAAGGAAACCCGTCAGGACCATGAGCCTTTGACGGATCTAAGTTCTGCAAGGCTTGGAAAACTTCTTCTACCGATAGGTCAATTGATGAAATGCTTGATAATGGAGAAGATGAATCTGGTTGAAACGAAGGTGATAGATCCTGAAAGCAGGTGTAGACAGATTGAAAGTACTCATTAAACATCGTCGCAATGTCACTAGGTGTATTAGCTTGTAATCTACTCCCAGGATTGTTATTGTCGAATCTTGAGACAGATTTTTGTATGTTATACGTTCACGCGCTCAAAGCTGTGTTTCTATACATTCAAAACTTTTAATTTTTAATACTCTCAATTATATGTATACGTTTTGCGCTTTATTCGTAAAATAATGAAGAAATTTTAGATGATATCACTAAAGAAAAAATGATGTCTGAAATTCAGTATATACGTATACCAGGGTCTTGCATAGCTATATATAGCAATTTGAAGTATACCCATTGCATGCATGGCAGCTATATTTTTATAATTAATTGACAATATGTCAGTTACCATTATTTTATTGTTTCTCGGCCATGCACCAGATGCATTTCAAGATGCAAGCTACTGCATGTATACGCTAGCTAACTGTATAAACTAGAAATTAACACTCTAAACATCCTGGTTAAAATTTTGCCTGCATGGTTAACCTATAGAAATACACCTGTCTGGGTTAACTTAAAATTCCTGGTTAAACCATGCAAACGTGCACAACTATAGTGACTCAGAGATTATTGTATTAAGAGGAGATTTTTTTGTATGCTACATAACACGCGCTCAAAACTAATGAGTGTAATATACCACTTGCTGTTATGACTATACATCCAACATTTTTATTTTTCGATACGTTTCTCAATCGGCAAACAAACTTGAAAAGTATGTTTAGTCTTTTATCTGTAAAATAATGCCAAAATGAAGAGATTTTAGATGGTACGCCAAAGAGAAAACGCTGTCTGAAGTTCAGCAGGTTTGGCTTATATGTCTGTAAATAAGGCGTCACTTTTAAAGCGTCAGTGATAATTGTATTTTAATTGACAATTTTTTGCTATTATTTTATGTTTCTCAACTGGCAAATGCATTCAAAAAGGTTGGTAACTGTATAAACTAGAGAATAAAGCTAAAACAAAGCAATTTTGAGAGGAACGCCAAAAAGATTTTCGGTTTTGAACACTTTTCATCGCAAATACGTGACATAGAAAACAATGCCTCTTAATATATACTTATAATTCTTATAAATTATTATAAATTATTATGCAATACAAGGTTATAAGGTTATGTGGTTTATAAATGTCAAATTATACATATTTTGCTATACAGGCACGTATACTAACTATATAGACTGATAACGAATAAGCCAAGTAGGAATCTCGACGGCACATCCAAATGACGCGTTCTGCGTTGGAATAAATTGCGGTTGAACTATAACTTGTAGAATATGAATTAGAATATGCATATCAAAGTATTCAACTTTTTGAGTGTGTTGCATTCTCGTACCCAGAGCCCTTCTTACGCGCGGTCAACGGGCGCGACGAGGGGCTCTGGCAATATCCAAACCGGATACCATAAAAACATGGTATCCGGTTAAACACTGTGCATGCTCAATTAGAGCTGAGCATGCGCAGTGTTTAACCGGATACCATGTTTTTATGGTATCCGGTTTGGATATTGCCCGAGCCCCTCGTCACAGCCCTCGTCGCGCTCCGTTGACCGCGCGTAAGAAAGGCTCTGGGTACAAGAATGAGTGTTGGTGTTATGTACTCAGGTGAATATGATGTTTGTGATGTTACTCTGAGTGTGCATCCATCGGGCAAGCTGAAAAGTTTGCCTGACCACGGTGGGAATCGAATCCTCGACCTTTGGGATACTAGTCCAACGGCTCTACCAACTGAGCTATACGAGGTAAAGTCGGTTCGAGTTGGTGATATTTCGGAACTGAGTCTAGTTTCTTCGATATCAACTGTGTTCAATCATCATTTGAATATGCAAAAAGTTGCTCAAAGAACAATTAGTTTCCGCACGGTTGATTCGTATTAAATTAGAAAATATAATCCTTATATACCTTTCTTTAATTTGCTTTACACAAAAGACGAAATATGCTAGTATAAACATTATGTAATGACAGTTCTATACTTTGACATGCATGAGTATATTTAATGCTTCCAATCTCAGTTATACATGTTAAATTAAGGCCTGATTCCACGAAGGCGAAATTCTTCCAATCTCAGTTATACATGTTAAATTAAGGCCTGATTCCACGAAGGCGAAATTCTTCGCGAGAAATTGTGTCTGCGAAATACGGATGGTTGCACATGGACGATTCTATTGAATTTTTCCGCTTTCGCAATGAGTGAGAACCACAACCTCGTTCCCAGGTTTTTCCCTGGAAACGAGGTTGGTAGAACCATAGCCTATGGAAGGGAAGATGGCTGTGAAACTCGTTAGAATAACAATATCACCAATTATCTATGTTAGTCAACGTTTACTCATAAATCTGCTCCTTCACCGTCACGTGCGTATTGTATTTTTGCCCAACTAACCAATAGCAATGTTTTAGGAAAGTTACTGGCGTATCCATGATTCGAACAATAGGGTAAATTGGAAATTGCTATTGGTAGATTTGGCAAAAATACAATACGCACGTGACGGTGAAGGACCAGATTTATGAATAAACGTTGACTAACATAGATAATGAGTTATATTCAGTGTTATTCTAATGAGTTTCTGCAGCCATCTTCCCTTCGACAGGCTATGGTAGAACTGACTTCTACTCACTGGTGAAGCGAAATTTTTTCTCGCGAAGCCCAATTTATCTTTACTGCGCATGCACCTAATTCATTTCGCGCGAAATTTTTCGCATTTCGCCGAAGAAAGCGCCCGTGGAATCGGGCCTTTATGATTCAAGTGCAATTTATCCCGCGACGCAGAACACGTCATTTAGATGCGTAGTCGAGACACTGAATTGGCTTATTAGTATAATTATTATATGTTAATGATATTTCGTGCAAGAACTAGTGATGCGTGTCTATGT